TTTGATATAGAATCATTAATTATGTATACAAACCTTATAAAAAATGTATCATTTCCTTATTTCGATTTCTTATAGGGTTTATTACAATCTTTAACTTTTTTAAAGCCCACTACAATTTCAAATGATGGCTGGTGTATTTCATCATAGTTAATAAATCGTGCATAGAGGCTGACAACAGTTTTCAAATAATTGTTAATATTGTTCTTTTTACTTAATCTTTGAATACTCCATTTTATCCTCTACCTTCTGTAATGAATCATTCTTAACTACAATATACTTAAAGCGTTCGCCTGGTTTTGGGATTTCATAAAAATAAGGCTCAGATTTTAGGCCTTTTTTATGCGCTATTTGGCATCTACTTCTTCACAGATGTATCTATCTCACATTCATAAAATGAAATGCTGAACACTCTTGTTATTTCTATCAGGCTTCCATACAGCAGTTTTAACCACTTTATTAAGATCTATCTGTGAAATACGTCCTTCATAATCCGATGCAAGGTATGAGTATTATTCAGCTTCATAGATTCTTCTATGACCTTCTTACTTACCTCACAAAAGTGTTTAGACTGCCTCCGCTTTACAACCTCAACCCCCTGAATGAAAAGCTCTTTATTAAAGTTCAACTTGCTTTTATGTGAAATGCCGTAGTATTTTTTCTTTCCAGTAAATACTATCAGAAATAAGACTTCCTCATATGCTATTTTGAGATAAGAGATCTGTTATTTTTCTTGAGAAAGACATTAACTTCATCATGAAGTTTTTCCATTTCTACCATAGAGATCTCCACCATTCAAGACCAAGATTCTTCTTTTGAGATCCATTGCCACTATTATAAGCCTCATTACACTTCTGAAAGCATTCTTCTGGACAGATTAGATATAAAGAATTAGTATCTCCATATTTTATCCTGAATCCCTTTCTCTTAACGAAATCAGCAACCAGTTTGATATTTCTTTGCCCAGCCGATGTGATGTCCCTAGCAAGTTCATGTAAGAAGAAAGGGGATTTACTATCTCCAGCTATATCATAGAATGTATTCATATATACCTTGAAAGCATATGGGAGGTTTGCTAGGAAAATAAGGCTCTGAAACTAAAAAATTTTTTTGAATAAATTAAAAAATCAAAATAAACAAAAAACTAGCTTTAAATTTGAGGCG